AGATGATAGATAGATGGTAGATAGATGATAGATAGATAGATGATAGATAGATGATAGATAGATAGATAGATAGATAGATAGATAGATAGATAGATAGATGACACAATTTTCCAAGACATCTTATTACATGAAAAATCAGTTTGCAGAATAATACATAAGGTATAATCCCACTTAAAAAAAAAACAGCTATTGTGTGTATGTGTGTAGGTTTGTGCAAAACACATAGTAGAGTGAAAGACAGCATGGATGCATAATAAACCTTTAATAGTAACACCCCTGGGAAGAGAATTTAGGATGGGGACTATCTAAGGCAGTCCCGGGCGCAAAGGCAAGTGGAAGAAAGCTGCAATCATCTTAGATGCCCTGTCCACCTGGATGTAATCATCATCACATCCCTTCCATATTGCCTGCTTCATAACTTTAGAATTTGTCTATTTTGAGAAATGGCTGTCCCCAAGTTAATTTCCCCAGCTTAGGCAGCCAATATCGCCCACTTCAGCTTCGAGCTATTCTTCCAAATGGTTTAATTGCTTCTGGTTCTGCTTACACATATCATCCTGCTGCAATACTAAATCCATGCTAATGCTTTAGCCATAATTCTTTTTAAAATCTGTGAATTTGACAGTTAATATACGATTACATGCTCGGCATAAATATATTTTCAGTGTAGATAATTCAGATATCAAATTATCCAAACATTTCTTTTCTGCCTCCCCGCTCTTCACTTTCCTATACATTCTCTATTCTAGATCCCACTTCCCTCCCCAGAGGCACTATAAATGATTTATCATGCATTTCTCCAGTGTCCTTCTATGCTTCTTAACATACACTTCCATACACCTTTTTCTTTGTTAGTTTTTGCAAAAATATAATTTACCATATATATTATTCTGCAGCTTTAGTTTTCCCTTAATAATTTGTCTCAGAGAATTTTCCATTTAGGTTTATAAGGTTTAACTACTGCAAAATAGGGGTGCCTGGGTGGCTCAGTCGTTAAGCGTCTGCCTTTGGCTGAGGTCATGATCCCAGGGTCCCAGGATCGAGCTCCGCATCAGGCTCCCTGCTCAGCGGGAAGCCTGCTTCTCCCTCTCCCACTCCCCCTGCTTGTTTTCCCTCTCTCCCGCCTCTCTCTCTCTCTGTCAAATAAATAAATAAAATCTTAAAAAAAAAACTGCTGCAAAATAGTTCATAGAATGGATATATTATGATTTATTTATTGATAGACATTCAAGCTTATTACAGTTCCACGCCATTAACAAATTCCATATTTGTATAGCAGACTCATTTCTATTGAATAGACCCTCTAAAAGTGGAATGCTGAAAGTATGCATTTTTTTGTTTTTGATAGATACTGCCCCGAATTACATTCTAAAACTTTTCTTACCTGTTAGCACTTTACCTCTTAGTACTTTCATCAAAAGTGCCTGGGGGCGCCTGGCTGGCTCAGTCAATAGAGCATGTGACTCTTGATCTCAGGGTCAAGAGTTCAAACGCCACTAGGCATGGAGCCTACTTAAAAATAAAATAAAATGAAGGGTTTTTTTTTAAAAAAATGCCTGTTTCTGCAACTGATTTTATCTTTTAAATGTTTTCATTATGATGTTAATATATGACATTTATTTATTGTTTGAATTAGTAATTCCAGAAACACTAAACATATTATGTTTTTGTCTGATATCTCTACTTCTATCTTTTGACAAATACATATTTTCATTCATTTTAATAGATTTTTTAAATTGCTTTGCATGAATTCTATCTATAGATGGATCAATTGATGATCATTCTTTCATCTAATATAGCCTCTGGATTTTTTTCTCTGACTCAGACTGTCCTAACCACAGATTTAAAAATTACTTGAAATTGTGTTTTGATAATCCACTGGGAATTCATGTTGTTTATATATGAAGGAAAATACAATCTTTTCTTTTTTTCTTCAGATAGGCAATGGTCAAAGGCCTTTTACTGCATAGTTGGTCTTTTTTCCAATGATGTGAAACCATTTCACAAGAAACCACAACCCCACATATACATGGTCTGATTCTGGCCTCTCTGTTCTTTTATATTAATATGTTTTTTCATATATACTATGTTTTTATGTTTTGTTTTAATGTCACACTGTTTTAATTTTCATAGCTTAATGACATGTTCTTACATCTAAGAAGACAAGTTTCCTTTCCTTTAAAAAAAATTCTCTTGGTTCTTTTCTTTTCTTTTTTATTTTTTCTTATTATGTTCAATTAGCCACAGTATAGTACATCATTAGTTTTTGATGTAGTGTTCAGTGAATCATTAGTTACATATATCACCCAGTGCTCATCACAACACGTGCCCTCCTTAATTATTTTCATAAATTTTATTTGTCGTATGAAACTGAGAGCTTATCAAGTATCATGAAACGTCCTATTGGGATTTTCATTGGGCTTATATTATTTTCATGGGACAATTTGGGGAGAAATAGCTATTTTGCATTACTGAATCCCTTTGCCCAAGAACAGGGATAATTATTTCCATCTTTAAATATCGTTCACTACATTTTTATGGTTCTGTTTTATATGGTTTCTTGTATATTTCTTGGATTTATTATGTCTTCCAGTTTTATTTTTGCTATTGCAATTTTTTTTTTTTTTCTGTTTCCAAAACATTTTCTAATTAGTCATTTCTGCTATTGGGGAAATTTTTTAATTTACGTTTTCATTTTTCAGTCTGTCTACTTTTTAATCTTACACCTTTGTTATTCTTTTTCTAACTGCTTTCATTTTAGGCTTTGCATTTGAGAGCTCTTGCTTGGGCTCCTTTGAGTTATCAGCACCTGGTTCTGGTGAGGGTAGGACAGTGGCAAAAGTGAATCATTGGTTGTGAAAGCCCTGGTTTTTTTTTGGTTTTTTAAACTTGATGGAGGAATTTTGACAAGCAATTATATATATATACGTATATATATATTTAAAGTGCACAGTGTGACAATCTGATATACCTACACATTGTAGAACAATTACCCAATCAAGATAATTAACATATCTATCACCTCAAGGGTTAACAGAGGTAACTGTGTGTGTGTGTGTGTGTGTGTGTGTGTGTGGTGGTGAGAATGGTTAAGATCTATTCTCAATAACTTTCGATAGTACTGTGTTATTAACTATAGTCAGGACTGTATTGTTAACTGTAGTCACTATGGAAAACATCACTGTGGTTTCTCAAGAAAAAAACAATTTGACTGAACTACCATATGATCCAGCAATCCCACTCCCAGGTAAATACCCAAGATAATTGAAATCAGGATCTCAAAAGCATATCTGCACCCTCATGTTCATTGCAGCATTAGTCATAATATCCAAGATATGGAAACAACCTGTCCTTCCATGGATGAATCTATTAAAAATGGGATATATATAATATATATTATATAATGTATTATAATGGAATATTATTCAGCCATAAAAAGAAGGAAGTCCTGCCATTTGCAACTACATGGATGAATCTGGAGGGCATTATGTAAAGTGAGATAAGGCAGGAGAAGAAAGAGAGTCCTTCCCATGAGGGGGCAATATCTTCCTATAATGTTGCTCCATTTTCCTGCTGTAGCACCCACCCTCTCTGGTCAAGTGTTGGGTACACACCATGACTGTCCATGTGCAGCCCAGATGAGGATGCAAGAGATGGGAGGACCATGCTCCAGCCGCTTCAACCACAGCCCCCAAGTGAGCTCCATGATGCTTCCTCTCCAGGTCCTGTGACTCCAACTTCTGAACTCTAGTCTGGACACAGGGGAGTCCACTATTTTTTTCATATTTTCTATCTTCTAGAGATTCCTCAAAATCTCAGTTCACCAATGGTACTGTTTCTTGTTTTCTAATGTTATTATTGATTTATTCTCCTGCTGTCATCTTTTTGACTGGCAATAAACAGAGGTTGAATTCAGCTCACTCTCCTGATCACCAGAATGATTTCCTCCAGATGTAAAATTTATCATATTCTTTGTCCCCCTAAAACATGCCAGTGAGTTTTCAGCTCCTTCCTCTGCTTCGCAGGACCCTTCATCATCCAGTGCATGCCACCTGTCCATCCTCTTTTTTAATCACCTTTTCCCTACATCCCAGATGTCATTTTCAACCTGGAAACATACTGAATCCTGTGTCCTCCCCACTCTCTCTCACTGGTCCTTGCTGTCTGTTACCCCTTACACTCTTCATTAGTTTTGTCCATTTCATCAGTTAGGTTAGAGTTAAGAGGGCACCTCCTCCAGGAAGCTTTCCTTGACCTCCAAACTTAGGTTAGATGTACCACATCTCTTCTTCCATGGTACCCTTTGCTTATTCCTGCCACTGCATTTGTCACACTGTATGGCAATCTGCTTTTTACTTGTTCTTGACCTCCTTAGCCTGTATTCTATGTGAGGGGCAGGGATTGCAATTTGTGCATCATCGTAAACAACCTGATGGAAGGAACTGTAGAATTTCTAGAACTTAATACCATGCCTTAAACATAACTATTGTTAAAAGCAAGAGCATCAGGGTGAGTCAGATTTGGATTCCAAATCTAATCTGTCATTTATTAGTGCAGTGCAGGGCTGGTTACGTAATTGGGATGGAAGGCAGGGCAAAATAAAAATGTGAGCCCTGAAGGGGTGAAGAAGTCAATCTCTTTTCCCACAGGCCAAACTCCCCAACCCACATTTGATGGGCAATCTCCAAGGGATTACAGCCTCCTTGTTGGGATGGGATTTGTACCTGGATTGGGGACAGGTCAGTGGCTCTTGCCATCACCTATGAAACATGGCAAGACACTGTCAGCCGAGGGCAGAGACCTCTCTTGCCTTGCCCGTTTCAAGGACTCTGACCCTCCTTGTGCTCATGCCCAGAACCCCCAGGAGGCTAACAGCCACGTGGAATGTGGGTCTTATCCTGCAGACAGTCACTGCTCTGTCGTAGGGTAGAGCCAATGGCAGGGATGGGAGGAGAGAAGAAGGCCAGTGGCCTCTGATAAGCAATAAGAAGCAAGACCACTTCTTTTTTTTTTTTTTTCGTTTTAACAGTTTTTATTTCAAGTCGCATATAAGATTACTTTACTCCTGCATCTTCTCAATTGTTTCTTCCTTATATTTGCCCTTTTCCTTTCCTACTTGGCGAGATTTGGCTTTACGTTCAAGGATCTTTTTGCGGTCTTTGTCCAGTTTTAGTCTGGTGATAACCACCTTGCTAGGGTGAATGCCCACATGGACGGTTGTGCCGTTTGCCTTCTCTCGCTGCACTCGTTCAATGTAGATGACGTACTTCTTCCTGTAAACCTGGACTACTTTGCCAATCTGCTGACCTTTGTAGTGTCCTCGCACAACCTGCACTTCATCATCAGATGGGCATGGATCGAACGTTGTACTTCGTTGAATGTACTTCACCATTCAGATGGGCATGGATCGAACGTTGTACTTCTGTCTCAGCTCTTTGGAAAGAGGGGAAGACATGATCTTCCTGCGAATGTGGGAAGGTGCATTGAAATGCCGCTTTCGGTTCTTGCTCTGGTCAGAAGTCACAAAGGGATTAAACTTCATTTTGGCCGCTGCAATGGCCAGCAAGAGGGAAGAGCGAAGCAAGACCACTTCTAAGCTAAAACTCCAACTCCCATTGTACACTCCATTGTCTCTTTGGACCTCACTTTAAAAACAGAAATTTAATGATAAAATAATTAAAATGTCAAGAGGAGACAGTAGAGCTTTGATTCCAGGAAGAAGGGGACCCTGCATAGCTATGCTGGTTACACGCCCAGGAAGCTGGCCTTGACTCTGTGACCTAAAAAAAGTTCACCTAAATTCTGAGCCTTAGTGTCTTCACCTGAGAAATGGATGTGATAAAATACCTCATCAGATTTTAGTAAGACTTAAAGAAGTAATGTCCCCAAAGCTCAGAGCACAGCCCTCAGATATTTTTATGGGAAGTTCAAGATCTCCTCCTTGGAAGGACACAAATACAAGGTTTTTTTTTTTTTTTTTTTTTTAATATTTTATTTATTTATTTGAGACAGAGAGAATGAGAGACAGAGAGCATGAGAGGGAGGAGAGTCAGAGGGAGAAGCAGACTCCCTGCCGAGCAGGGAGCCCGATGTGGGACTCGATCCCAGGACTCCAGGACCATGACCTGAGCCGAAGGCAGTCGCTTAACCAACTGAGCCACCCAGGCGCCCACAAATACAAGGTTTTATGGACTCTTTTTGGTAATGCTTAAAATGTTTCAAAGTTTACGGAGTCATTAACCCTTTTCGTCACTAATCCTTTTCTTAGTCCTTAACCCTTTTGGGTTGGATTACAAAGTGGAGGAAATGGCCATAGGATAATTTCAGATTGTAGTCCACCATGTGGTGTGGAAATTAGTTCTCAGCATACACCTCAGAGCCGCTCCTGATCGTCCTGAGATTCTTAGATAATTCTGTTTCCTGAGCTCCACCATCGGATTACCTGGAGATAAGATCCAGGAATGTATGTTTTTTACAAATCTCCCAGATGATTCATACACACACAAATTTCTTCTCTGTAGTTCCTTATGGTGTTTTCTCCCCTTTTGAGGTAAATTTACATGCATGGAGTGGATAGATCTTAAGTGCACGTTCACCAACTTGACAGATGCATCGAACCTTATGCAGTCTGAGCCCCTATCAGGATACAGAATATGCCATGGACTGAATGTTCGTGTTCTCCCCAAATTCACATTTTGTAGCCACAATCCCCAAGTGTTGGTATTTGGAGGTGGACACTTTGGGAAGTAATTAAGTTATGAAAGTAGAGCCCCCATCAGGGGGATTAATTTTCTTGTAAGAGGAGGCACAAGAGAAATCATGCCTCTCTTGTCCGCGTGAAAACACAGGAAGGTGGCTCTGTGAAAGCCAGGAATCTGGCCCTCAGTGGGACCAGATCTGCCAAGGCTTTGATCTTGGACTTCCCAGCCTCCAGAACAGTGAGAAGTAAATATTCCTTGTGTTAAAAAGAAAGCCACAATGCGGAGAAAGGGGAACCCTCCTACACTGTTGGTGGGAATGCAAGCTGGTGCAGCCACTCTGGAAAACTGTATGGAGGTTCCTCAAAAAGTTGAAAATAGAGCTACCCTATGATCCAGCAATTGCACTACTGGGTATTTACCCCAAAGATACAAAAGTAGGGATCCGAAGGGGTACGTGCACCCCGATGTTTATAGCAGCAATGTCCACAATAGCCAAACTGTGGAAAGAGCCAAGATGTCCATCGACAGATGAATGGATAAAGAAGATGTGGTATATCTACACAATGGAATATTATGCAGCCATCAAAAGGAATGAGATCTTGCCATTTGCAATGACGTGGATGGAACTGGAGGGTATTATGTTGAGCGAAATAAGTTAAACAGAGAAAGACATGTATCATATGATCTCACTGATATGAGGAATTCTTAATCGTAGGAAACAAACTGAGTGTTGTTGGAGTGGGGGGTGGGGTGGGAGGGATGGGGTGACTGGGTGATAGACACTGGGGAGGGTAGGTGCTCTGGTAAGCGCTGTGAATTGTGCAAGACTGTTGAATCTCAGATCTGTACCTCTGAAACAAATAATGCAATATATGTTAAGAAAAAAAAAAGAAGAAGAAGAAGGTAGCGGGAGGGGAAGAAAGAAGCGGGGGAAATCGGAGGGGTAGACGAACCATGAGAGACGATGGACTCTGAAAAACAAACAGGGTTCTAGAGGGGAGGGGGGTGGGAGGATGCGTTAGCCTGGTGGTGGGTATTGAGGAGGGCACGTTCTGCATGGAGCACTGGGTGTTATGCACAAACAATGAATCATAGAACACTTCATCTAAAACTAATGATGTAATGTATGGGGATTAACATAAGAATAAAAAAAAAAAAAAAGAAAGCCACAAAGCCCAAGTTGCTTGTCCCTAGGACAGTAAACCAGGACTCCATTGCAATTTCAACTTCCCCAGCAGTGGCATTTTAAACCAACCAATCTGGAATTTTCTGGTCAGTTCCAATGAGGTAATCTGTCACATGGGTTCTTCCCATCCCCCCAAAGGAAAATAAGGCAATACACCTAAGGAGACCCCCCTCTCCTTCCTGCTAAGAGAAGATGACCTTGCTGAAATAAGCCTTTCTTTTCTTTTGCTAAGAACTTCTTGTCCCATCTTCTTTCCGGGGGAAAACAAAACAAAACAAAAAAGACCTCTTCCATTTTGTGCAACTCCTTGGAGCATTTCTCTACTTGCCAGATGGGATGCTGCCTAAATTCATGAATCACTTCATAAAGCCAATTAGGTCTTCAAATTTGCTTGGTTGAATTTGTCTTATTCAACAGTGTTTAAGCCACCCAGTCTGTGGTATTTTTATGATAGCAGCCTGAACGGACAAGGACAGAAGCATATCACCGTCACTCCTTTAGGACTTCACCTAAAGGAATCATTTATTAAATACACTTTTCTGTAAAGTTTCTTTTATTCAGCATGTTTCCGAGATCCATCCACAATGTTGTATGTATCAGGAGTTTGTCCCTTCTTCTTGCTGATCACTATATAAATTATATGAATTTCTTTCATTATGTGAATACACTACCATTTATTCATCCATTATCCTACTGGTAGACACCTGTGCTGTTTCCAATTTAAAGCTATTATGGTTCATCAAAAACTAATGATGTACTTTATGGGGACTAACAGAACATAATAAAATAAAATAAAATTTTAAAAAATAAAGCTATTATGGATAAAGTTGCCATGAACAGTTTTATACAAGCCTTTTTGTGGACATAGATTTTTATCTCCCTTGGGTAAACACTTAGAAGTGGAATTGCTGGGCGGTAGAGTAGGGTGAAGATTTAGTTTCACAAGAAAATGCCAGCTCTTTTACGCAAAGCGGTTGTACTATTTTATACTCTCACCAGCAGTGTTTGAGAGTTCCAGCTGCTTCTCAACCTCACCGACATTCAGTGTTGTCAATCTTTTAAATTTAATTTTAACCATTCTGGTCGGTATTTAGTGATATCTCATTGTGGTTATAACTTCCATTTTCCTGATGATCATTGATTCTGAGCACCCTTTGCAGACATTAATTGGCCATTCAGGTATCTTCTTTTGTAAAGTGTCCATTTCAATCTTCTGCCATATTTTGAATTAGGTTCTCTCTGTTTTATTATTGAATTGTAGGAGTTCTTTATATACACAGGATGCTGGATATCCTTGATCAGATATGTCTTCCAAATCATTTCTCTAATTCCAAGCTGTCTTTTCTTTTAATGGTGTCTTTTGAAGAGCAGAGTTTTTAAATGTGGATGAAGTTCAACTTAATACTTAGTTCCCTTATGGTTAATGCCTTCTCCCACAGCAACCAGGCCCGTATTTGCTCATCTTCTCTGAACTCCCAGCCTAACTGTACTTGGGAAACAGCTCTCCCCCATTTCCATTCCTCCTCGCCCTGTGATACCTCTGTTCAAGCTCTCTGCTCAAAAGACTTCTGAAAATGACATCAAGGAGGGGGTCTCAGTAGGCACCTTTTAAGAAAAGTCTGTGCATGATCCCACCATTTGGCAATTTTTATTATTTGAAGAAAAAGACAGCAGCCCTTATTTCCTGTTGTTCACATTTTTCAGAGACACAACCTCCTTCCTATGTTTAAAAATTCCTGACAACATTGAGCTCCAAACCACGATTTAAAATCTTCTGAATTAGGAACTCACGGTGAAGGGAGAAGAAGATCGGGATGATTGTAGTGAGCTCCTCAGGCTATTTTATTTTATTATTTTATTTTATTTTATATTTTATTTTGTTTTATTTTATTTTATTTTATTTTTTTATTTTAGGGCTCTGTATTTAGAAACAATCATCTGGAGCTCTTACAGCATCTGACAGGGAGTTCGGGAGTGAGGTAGCCATTGTTGATGAGAAAAAGCAGACACCAAGAAGGCACCTTGCCTAAGGCCACCATGGGGAGCTTGCAGCAGAAGCCAGGCCCCTATCAGGAGATCCCAATCCCTCTAAAATTCCACGATCAGAACAGGCAGAACACAAAAGAGAAACCCACTGAGGAGAGGAAATGTTTTCCCACAAAAGCAATTTCCTCCAATTTGTATTTCAGCAACAAATTTGTTTCCAGTTTCAGATGCCACTATTCAAAACTGACCTGTTGCCTTTCGACTATAATAGAGGCTCTCTCATTCTTCGGTGATTTGCTTGTAAATATTTATCAATACGGCTTGGCCCTCAGCCCCCTTTCTCTGACTTTATGACGGGGAGCCCCCAGCCCCTGCCAACACTTCTCAAGCCTTGATTACTGTTATGTCTTTCACATGGATCGATGTGTTTTCTCATGTGGTTTATCAAGTGCTATAAACATTTACAGCTGAACTGTCAAAGTGGATAAACAAAACACTGTACATTTTTATAGTTCAGTGATCTTTATTATGCTTTTTATACTTTTTTTTAAAAAGATTTTATTTATTTATTTGAGAGAGAGAGTGAGAGAGAGAAAGAGCACAAGAAGGGGGAGCGGGAGAGGGAGAAGCAGACTCCCTGCCGAGCAGGTAGCCCGATGCGGGACTCGATCCAGGGACTCCAGGATCATGACCTGAGCCGAAGGCAGTCGCTTAACCAACTGAGCCACCCAGGCACCCTATGCTTTTTATACTTTTGCATAGGTCCAGAAGATTTGCTTTATCTCAAGAAAGTGAAGCAATAGATTAGATTAGTTTCACTATGTTACTCAGTAGCAGTTGTGCTAAAATCCTGAAACTGTCCCCTTCCTACAGTTTGTTTTTTCTTTTGTTCGAATCTGGTTTATTAATGACAGAGATAAAGGCTTGATTACTACAACTACAGTTGTCTGAGGCAGTGGTTCTGAAACTTCAGCCGGCATCACAATTCCTTGGAGAACTTGTTAAAACATAGATTTCTGGGCCCCACCTCCAGAGGCTCTGATCCAGAAGATCTGGAGTGGGGCCCGGAAATGTGCATTTCTGACAAGTTCCTGCTGCTGCTGATGGTCCAGGAATGCAAAGCATTGATTTAGTTCTTCCATCTGAAGAACCAAGGGCATTTCCTTTTCAGTGATTTCCAGCAAGTGACTGCCTTACTTCCATATTCTGAGCGTGCAGAATACCAAGGCTTTGTCTTCACAGATAGCAGGGCTTGCCTTGTGCAAAATGAGAGAGTAAGCGACACTCACGAACAAACACGCATCTCTACGTATCCAGGGTACCAGCAGGCATTCCCCGGTCTCAGTGGCTTCCAGCTGTGCTGGGTCTCTCCCCCTTTGGGAAGGTTTGTGGAAAATGTTCTAATATGTTCGTTGCTTCCTCCACACCACTACCTCTTTCTAGCCAGCTGCTTTTTTTTTTTTTTTTTTAACTTCTGCTGCAGAGATATGTTGATCAGGAGGACTCGCTTCTCATTCCATCTTTCCCTCCACATCCCCATCTGTTTTAAACAGACTCCTACCCACACTTCAAGGCTCAGCTGAAAGCTCACACCCCACCCCCATGACACCACAGAGGAACTCGCAGCACCTCTCTGTGGTCTGGGAGTTTTGTGATGAGATATCTCACTTAACGCGTGGCCCTGCACTTTTCTGGTTCCATGTTTATCCCTCTCTATGAAACACAGGCTCTTCTAGACAGAGTGATGTCTTAGTTATATCTCTCACCCTGCAAAACCACACTCAATAAACGAAGGAAAGAAAGCAAGATGGGAGGAAGGAGGAAGAGAAGACGTTCTGCTCCCAGGACATATGTATCATTTATTGTAGAGAAGGGTAGGATAGTATTTGGGTGGTTGGGGAAAGCAGTGAGGGCTGCTACCTACCCTGACAATGCGAAAGCTTGATCCTCACATCAGCAACAATGGAATCAGCCACGTGAATGATTTGGCCATAGGTTAAGGACATGGATCCAGCTCAGCAATAGAGGAGGAAGGCAGAATGCATCACCCGCGCCCTTGTTGTTCTTATGGCTCTTTGGCAGAGAGGATGCTGATGCCATGACAATGGCGGGGCCTGGGGGCAGGGGGAGGTTATTTGAGGCTGAAGGACTTTGAGACTCAGGAAGGATATGGGATGAGATAAAAGCAAAGGCCTGAATAATATTTGCAAATAGAGTTACCCATCACTGGCGCACGATATGCCAGGCACTCTTCTAGGGTTACATACACAATGGAATTGGTTGGTTGAACTGAGAGTTATGTAATAAATTAAAACAATATATATTTGGTCTTTATCATGTGTGAATAGTATTAGGCTTTCCTTTAATATAAGAAAGAAATACACTCCTTTCTATTATTTAATTTATCTTCAATATCTAGCAATATACAAATGACGAATGAATTCATTCCTACAATATGTCTTTTTGTGGGGTGCCTGGCTGCTCAGTGTGTAGAGCATGAGACTCTTGATCTTGGGGTTGTGAGTTCGAGTCTTGTGTTGCACGTTGAGCTTACTTTTTTTTTTTTAAAGATTTTATTTATTTATTTGACAGAGAGAGACACAGCAAGAGAGGGAACACAAGCAGGGGGAGTGGGAGAGGGAGAAGCAGACTCCCTGCCAAGCAGGGAGCCCGATGCGGGGCTCGATCCCAGGACCCTGGGATCATGACCAGAGCCGAAGGCAGACGCTTAACGACTGAGCCACTCAGGCGCCCCGAGCTTACTTTTTAAAAAAGGCATATATATATATATATGCCTTTTTGCTCCTTCCAAAAATAGTTTCAAAATACTGCTTCTTAGAGCCACTTTAGAAGACAGTTTGGCAGTGTCTTACCAAAGCTAAACACAGTCTTTTTTTTTTTTTCTTTTTTTAAGGCTGCCCTAAAGGCAGACAGGTTCATTGAGGTCACAGCCAGGTGATCAGCGATTGGACTTGGCCACACGTTCCAGCTCGTCCTTCTTCTTGATAGCCTAGGAACTGGAAGAGCACCAAAAGAAGAGGTTTCATGTGTAAACATATTTGCCCAAATCAATATGCCACACAGAATTGGCTGCATTGATGAGCTCATCTGCTAGGCAGTCAGCAATGGTCTTGATGTTCTGGAAGGCAGCCTCACGGGCACCTGTGCACAGCAGCTAGATGGCCTGATTCACACAGAGCAGGGCGGACATGTCAACAGCCTGACGCCTCACTGTTCCGGCTCGTCCAATGCGGGTTGAGTCCTCCCGGGGACCGCTGTTAATAATTGCATTCACCAGGACCTGCAGGGGGTTCTCACCAGGGAGCAGATGGGAGATCTCGAAGGCATGCTTGACAATGCGCACGGTCATGAGCTTCTTGCCATTGTTACGGCCATGCATCATCATTGAGTTGGTGAGACGCTCGACAATGGGGCACTGTGCCTTACGGAAGCGCTTAGCTGCATATCACCTTGCACTGTGGGGCAGGTACTTGGCATACTTCTCCTTCACTGCAATGTAATCCTGCAAGGAAATGTCATTGATCTGAACATCATCAGTGCTCCATTTCCCAAAGAGCTTGATGTCAGGGGTCTCCACCACTGCAGGTCCAGCTGTCTCCCACTCGGTCATCCTGAGGGCACAGCCGGGGCATCCCAATCGATCAGCGTGCACCACGCGCCACCCTGGCACAGACAGGAAGACCAAAGCTAAACATAGTCTCACCATACAATCTAACAATCCAGCAGACATACCTCTAGGTATTTACTCAAATGAATTGAAAATGTACATTCACATAAAAACTTGCACACAAATGTTTACAGCAGCTTTATTCATAATTGCTAAAAATTGGAAACAACCAAGATGTCCTGCAGCAGGTAAATGGATAAATAAACCGCGTTACATCCAAACAACAAAATATTATTTAGTGATTAAAAGAAATAAGCTATCAAGCCATGAAACAGGAAAAGACATGGAGTTACTTTAAATGCATATCGCTAAGTGAGAGAAAACAGGCTAAAAAGGCTACATACTGTATGTTTAGGACAATATGACATTCTGAAAAAGAAAACACTGTGGAGACAGTGAAAGGATGAATGGTTTCCAGGGGTTGAGGGGCGGGGGAGAGAGAGATGAATGGCTGGAACGGGGAGGCTCTTTAGAGCAGTGAAACGACTCTTTATGATACTGTAACGGTGGATACGTGTCATTATGCATTTGTCAAAACCCAGAGAATGTGCAACACCAAGGATGACCCTGAAGTAAACAGTGGACTTTAGCTAATAATAATGTATCCATATTGGCTTATCAATGATAACCAATGTATCACAACCATATAAAATGCTGGTAATAAGGGAAAGTGAATGCAGGAGAGAGAAGGGTTTATGGGAACCACCTGTACTTTCTGTTCAATTTTTCCTTAAACCTAAAACTGCTCTAAAATATAAAACATGAGGAAAAAAAGAAAAAAGAAAGAGCAGACTAATTCTGTACCCCTCCAAAGGATCAAACATAGGTGCACTGAAGACCTTGCTGAAAATGAAAGTTGATAAATATGGGAGTGGGCCCCTTTCATTGGTAGGATCATGCTGTAACTCTCTGTCTCCCCAGAATGATGACTGGTGGAAGAAAGTGATACTTCAGTTAGGTTAGAGCACTGGAGTAGACAGTATTTAAGGTTACCTGCAATTTTGATATCCCGTGATGCTACAGAAAAGTAACCACAAGTATAATGAACGCTGTATAGAATAAATTAAAGTCAGGATGACACATTTCCCCAGACTAGGGGCTAAAGAAAGCAAACAAAGCATGTGAAATGACTGTCATTCTGAGTAGCAGTCCTTGCTCAATAGTGAGGTGAGCAGGAAGAACTGAGAAGTGGTGCTTTATTGACTTTGTTTCTTTCTTTCTTTCTTTTTTTTTATTTGAGAGAGAGAGAACGAGAGACAGAGAGCATGAGAGGGAGGAGGGTCAGAGGGAGAAGCAGACTCCCTGCCGAGCAGGGAGCCCGATGCGGGACTCGATCCCGGGACTCCAGGATCATGACCTGAGCCGAAGGCAGTCGCTTAACCAACTGAGCCACCCAGGCGCCCTTGACTTTGTTTCTTTTCTGGAAATTGTATTAAGTGTATGAGATGATGTAAGATATTGACAGCTGCAGAATCTTCCCTGCCCTCGATTTCCAAAACAGTATGATCACATATAAATGTAGGTGTGTAGACACATCATATAAATAATGAGTGGCATGAGTCACGCTAATGGGTTGGCCCATTCAATGGTTAATTTGTTTTATGAAACATCCATACCAACCCTCAAAGATACTCTAGAAATCAGAGAATAGACACCCTTGGAATAAGAGCCTCTAAACTTATTGTGTCCCCTATGTGGAAATTTTTACAAATCGCCTCTTTCTCCCCCTGTAAGGGAAACTACAGGCAGGTTTCGTAAACACACCTGGATAAAAGCCCCCCTGTTGTCGCTTATGTGTTCTCCTCTACAACATTAAAAGAAATTCCAGGTTCCTGTCTGCAGAGCTGCTGTTGCCAGGGAAACAGAGCTTCATCAGAATGCAGCCGCTCGAAGTCTCAGTGCCCCAGTTACTGGCTCTTTTGATTGGTGGACACACATGAATCTCTTTCTAAGAAAGTTAATTTCTTCGTTTGCATCTATTGCACAAACATATCTGTCACCTGGGTCCAGACAGAATACTGTATCTACTTGCCTGATTAAAACTTGCTCACGGAGAGAGGGAATGCAATGTCAGAGGATGGGCCATTCCATCCTTCACAAAAAGCAGGTGGTACCAAGGGGTCCTCTCTACTCCGCTTTCCTAGAAGTTCTGCAGAGACCAACAAAGCTTGAATATTTGTTTCTGATAGCCAGGCATTCCATCTTCCATGAGGGCATCGTAATAGTCTATGAGACAGGTAAATTCAACATGGGCAGACTTTCCAGTTAGACCTGACACTTAATGTTATCTAAATATTTAAAGCTGAGACCGCTCATCTGAATTCCCTGGTACTCAGCTTTTATTGGAAGGTCTTCCAGAAGCAGCCTAAATTCTTATTGTAGTTTCAGGTTGCTTCCAACTCAAACAACTTACCTGAGTGATTTCTAGAAAGTATGTGAACCGATGCCGACCAGGTTTGAGCTATTTTGAGCTTGATAAAAATCCAAATGAGATATTAACCCATTCATATAATCATGAGTCTCTATGTAGATTGATTCAATAATCCAGCAGGCCAATTTTTTTCAGGTAGATATGCTTCAGGGAACCATCTCTATCCAATTTTTGTTTTCTTTTTGTTTGTTCGTTTCAATTTTTGTTTTATTGGTGATAGGTGACCTGACTTTCTTACTCATTCTATGGAGGATGATACAGCAAACATGCTAATGTGCTCATCCAAGAGAAATCTGAAATGGGGTAATTTTCAAAGTGCCTTCTTTAGGAGGGCAACGAAGACGTGGTGACTGTCTAATTATGAAGGCTCATTTCATATGCAGCATGTAGTTTTTAAGTAAAAGATCTTGCAATTTTACTCTCAGGAAAGCTTCTGACTTTTCTTTATACCTGTCATTGTATTTCCCTATGTATGATAGTAATATTTCCGAAATTTTTACTCTCTGTTTAGCATTTAGGTAAGGTATTCTATTCTTATATTTTACTTTTAAACTAGTCCCTCAAGAGTTCTGATTTTTACTAATTATTCCCACTAACTTACCACTGCAATTCCAAAGAAAATTCCAGGGCTTTTTTTTTTTTTTTTTTTTTTTTAGTTTTTTCCCTGATAATGTCTTGCTTGAAAATAGCATCATTTCAAATGAAATCCACTTTATTTCATTAGTTCTAGAGGGGATATTTACTTCTTCTCCTGATAGGCAAATTCAGATTCAGCTGGGTTCAGGTGGCCCACGTAATCAAGGGATTTGGGATGTGACCTCCTCTGAATGTATATCCCGTATTCTCATAGCTGGGGCCACTTGGCAGCTCATTCAGCAGCTCCAAAATGATTGTTTAAAGCAGGACAATGTGCCTGTGTGGTAGAGTGGACAATGTAAAGCCGTAACCTAGAAGATTGACATTAAAACTTGACAGAAACATTCCTTTTGCAGTAAAATAAACAGTTTTCTCTTCTCCTAGATAAGGTGCTGTAATTTTTTTGATTAATCCATATGGTTTGTCCTCTTGCCTCGGAAACCACTAAAGACAACAATTTTCCAACTCCCTTCCTCGAAGTTTTCATTATCAATAAATGCCTGCGATATCAGCTGAGATTGCTTAGCCCACACATCCGGCCTGTATCTTAATTGCAGTAACTTCTTGTCACACACAGCCAACTCAGTTGATGTATGGAAACACTGGATTTTTTTTCCCTCCTCCCCATTCTCCCCGCCCCGGACCTCCAGCCCCCTTCTCTCCATTCCCCATTCCCAACCTCACGGAGCCCGGAAAGTCTTGCAGCATTCCTGAAAAGTTACATAAGACACCAGAAGTAGATAACATTGTATGTTTTGAGTTTAAAATGCAGAATGTTTATGCCTGTAGGGAGAGAATGAAAGAATGTCTTTTTCAGGAATCCTATCTGAAATGACTGGAGTCTGAGAAGTGTTTCCCTTAGTGTAAAAATGATGTTTGAGGAGTCTGGGTGTTCTTGACTACCTAGTCAATGGCAAGTTCTTTGTTCCCTAAAAGTAAATAACCAGGACCTAAGGGTCCAGGTTATAGCCCAGCTAGGCTGAGATGTCTAAGGTTTCTCTGGAGACAGGAGCAATGGAAGTAGACTCCCTGATCCAAGAGCAGTACCTTTGTGCTGAGACCCAGTCTTCTTTTAATGGTATAGAAGGACCAATGGGATGGAGGACGCGAGTCTTGGCTTGGCATGAAAGAAAGGCAAGCCAGGTTCTCCCTTTGGCATTTGATCACCTTGCTAATGGCTAGCTTGCAGATACAGACAGTTAGGTCTGTCCAACACCCAGAGTTTCAATCTCAGCAGCCTTTCCCATCTGGCATAAGAGACACCTTCTCTGAGCACCGAAGAGACTATGCTGCAATTCAAAAGAGGAGATCATGTAGTTGGCAAATGGGAGCACCAAAAGAAGAGGTTTCATGTGTAAACATATTTGCCCAAATCAATATGCCACACAGAATTGGTTCTTCCGAGACCTCCTGACCTTGCCCTTCCCTTCAGCAAGGTCAGTAGCAGCATACACGCAGCCCCATGGCTGATTCCAACACACTGCAACCGTCTCCAAGGCAACACTGATTTAAGGTCATCTCAGTGCTGCCCAATTTCCAGGAATCTTCTGGGGCGCTCTGTTCTTTGTGGTCTGGCATCGGGATGGAAAGTTTAACCTGAGCACAAGGGGAGGCTGGTTGGTTCCTACAGACTCTGCATTCTTTTCTCAGGTGGGTCGGGTTTGTGAACAAGGCTCGGCCCCACCTGTGGTGTAAATATTTTTGAAAGTCTCCTAGAGTGTAGACATGACCTCTGCCCAATGCACTTACCACCCATCTAGATAAGTAACAACAGAAGGGAAATTCAGGGAGCATCTCCGCTCCTTTCCTTAGAATGGAAATGACTTGGGAAAAAGGAGTAAATGAAGGAGAACTGTAATAACACAAAAATGTTCAGGCTAGTTTCTTCCCTCTGTCCTGCTTGGCCCCTGCTGTTGTTTCTTTGCCATCCTGCTGAATTTATCTATTTTATGTTCTGTAATAAAGGTATGCCATGGTGCGATTGGGGACTGCTGAATATGACTGAAATAAAGTGCAGCATTTACCGAGGAGTCTCCTCACAGCAATGACACCCCTTTGTTTTATTTTACGTATTGAGGTGTGACGGGCAGACAGCAAAGCTGTGCTTGTTCGATAGATACATCTTGATGAGGTTGAGATAAGTATTCCCTTTGTTTTAAACATTGTCTCAGCTAGTTCTTTCTTGCATGAGTGCTTTTACCTAATGTCACTGATGCTTTTCATTCTTGCATGCATTCACCAGAAGTCCATAGAACCCCTGCTAAGCAGGAGACACTGAGCAAAGGGGTGCGACAGGGAAAGAGGCCATTGCAGTGCCAACTGTCAGAGCTGTGGAAGACAAGAGGAAGTGACTGCCACATCTGGATGGACAGTCCAGTGTAATGGCCTCCAAAGGATGATCCTGAGTACAAAGTAACCAAAAGACGCTCAACCTGGTCAGATTATTAACTTCTCTGTGTTTCAGGTTTCCCATCTGTAACATGGGGACAAAACTAGAATTTCCATGGAGGTGTCTGATGAATTTAGATCTGGATTTCAAGTAACTGTCTTCTACTTGTAACTCATTCCTGGCCCAGGAAGTTCAAGGAGATGACCCATTTGCTCGCTGAGTTGCAGTGGCTCAAGATGCTGAATGGGGAGGAAAGGGAAGTTGGGTTTTCTTCCATTGTTAAGACTGACTCTTCCTGAAGCTTCCATCACTTTGTAGGATTACGTTAGACGTGGATGGGGCAAGTCCCGCCCGGCTAGGTAGATACAAACTTCCATCAGCCAGGCCTTGGGCAAAGTATGGTTCACCGAATCTCCAGACATTTTAGAAGGCATGAGAATGTGACCATTCAATTGTCTAGTGTTTGATGTCCGGACAGACCCAAGGGCACTGAGAGCATCTGTAATTCACATGACCAGGATGCTCTACCCCATGGCTCCATCTCAAGTTGCTGTCTCAACACAGTAGCTCACACAGAGGAAGATCTCTGGATGGGGACTTGGATTTTAATTGTTTGCCATCCTAATGAACCAAAGGATCGAAGTTGGTTAAACTCTTTCAAAGACATTATCACTAGCTGTGAGAAACTGCCATATTGAGAATAAAATTGTCATTTGACCTGGAAGACCTCAGTAGGATGAAGAGGTTTGGGAAGGTGGAATTTGGTGGGTGATGCCTCTTACCTAAGAGATAGATCTACAACACATCTCCACTTCTGTGACATCCAAATAACAAACACTAAAGAAACTCTTAAGTGAAAAAGTTCATGCTCAATGTGATACCAAAGAGCCAAAATCCAGGGAAATAGGGTGATATAAGTAAAATAAGCATGTACACACACCCAAAGGAAACTCATAACTCTTCACAATCACCTCATGAAATAGATGTTATCCCCATTTTACAGATGAGGAAACTAAGACCTAAAAAGGTGAAGGGATCTGTACAAGGTCATCCTAAATCACCTTTCTCTGGCTTTAAAACCTGAACACTCAATACTGTGATATGCCTTCATGTCAGAGATTTACTTACATCAAATGCACCACTTACAAAAAGGGGAGACATCCAAGGCTATTTATGGCCCTGCAGCCTTAACCATAATATAATTTTATCTAATGTCAAGGGGTTTTTTAAAAAAAATAAATCATCCTCTAGGGCAAAGGCTGGAAAACTATAGTCCATGATCCAAATCCAGTCCTCTGTCTTCTTTTATAAATAAAATTTTATTGGAATACACTCATGCCTTTATGTACTGTCCATGGTTACGTTCAAGCTACAATGGTAGAGTAAAGTAGCTACAGCAGAAACCCTATGCTCCACAAAACTGAAAATACCTACTGTCTGGTCCTTTACAGATTCACATAAAAGGGTTAGTATAAAATGAATCCATCTGCCTATGTATTATACTCAATATTTTACAGTGTTCATAATATTAACTGTGAGACTTCTTGCAACTTCTTAGTGTGTCAAATAAATCATAAAAGACTCAAGGCTACTTGATGCAGTTTTAGGGTTAAGTATATTTTATACTACTCAAATCCACTTCAGGTAAACTTATTATAATTCTCTTAGGCAAAATATCCCAGTCCCCAATCATCCTGGATAAATAAAATCTTGACCTGAAAGTACTCTACATTCTCTAGCCTACAACTCAAATTGCTACAGTAAAAGCTA